TGGGGCGACCTGCCGGCTCTGCGGAGGGACTCAAGGGAGGTCTTCATCAAAATAGAGGCCTGTAGCCTGCAGGACTCTGGGCTCTGGCCCAGGATCAAGACTTTTCTCTGCAGGAAGCTGTTGTGGCTGTAAAAATATCTGTCTTTTTAATCATTGGGTTTGTTTGTCTTGTCAAGTCCCAGCTGAGATTTCCCTTCGCAGTTTCTCTGAACATCTGCTCGTTGTCATTTCGTCGTTACCAACCTTGAAGTAAAGGATCGGGGTCTCCGAGATTATGCAATTTCTTTAAACGTTTTGAGATTATTAAAAATAACAAACGTGTGGGATTTTGTTCTTGTTTCAGCGTCCAGCCGTGCGCTCTCCGTAAACACGAGGCTCAGCATCTTGCCTCTGATGAAGAGACCCCGTGCGTCCTTCAGCCAGCGCGCCGCGGGACTGGGTGGAGGTCTGCGCTGTGAGGTTTGTGATCCAATGTGAACGTTGTCGAAGGCGTCGTTTATCGTGACATGTGCAGGCGTTTAACCCTGGTTGCCAGTGGAATTGCCACAGAGGTGCAGGGTTTTATGTGGCAATTAAAGAATGCGGTTTGCAGACGTCGGTGGTGTGCGAAGGTCCGCATTCGTGCTGCAGATGGTCACTTGGCCAACTTGACATCAGTCAATGCGTCGAGACGTAAGATGAATTCCATTAGTTCTTTCCAGGGTGCCTCTGATTCCCTGTGAGGTTGGGAACAACACCCAGACAAATAAACCGAGAAAGGAATTTGTAAAACTTTGTTTCAAATGCATTAGAACTTTCTAGCTTCTAGTCTGCTTCTGATAAGGATGGTATCATTTCAGGAAAAACACCTCTCCACTTCAAATTTCTCCATTTTTTCATAATCCCATAATCCATAGTATTTGATGCTCCCACTTTGCTGCTGTTTGTAGATTTAATGTGCCTGTTCTCCGTTTCACGTGCGACACGGCAGTGAAATCACCGGACTTGTTCATAGCAGGTTTCTGGAGAGCTGCAAATCCTTCCCGTTGTCGGTCAGTCGTGACGTAGCTAGTTTTTGATTTTGTAGTTTTGTAGGTATCTTGACCTCAAACTTCCAGTCGTTTTGTATCAGCTCTGTGTGTAGTTAGGAGGAAGTTGTGAGGCACAACATCAGACTTCTCACCATGAGTAAGAATTATGTTCTCTCTACTTCTCCCCTTTTGAGCAAAGTCTTCTCTTGCCGTGGGAAGAAGCTGGTGCGCTGTGACTCGTTCCTCATCATTGCCCGCCGGTTCTCTCCAGGTTACTTTAAGGCAACTGAATTTCTTTTGTATCAGCAAAAAGGGGATTGAATTTAATTTATATTGACACCCGTAACTGCAGCTTTTATGGACGAGTGCGTGACTCTGCAAACACCGTGGCCCTTTCATACTGTTTCCTGATCGTAATTCTTTACCGGGTCCATTCTGCCCTCGTCTCTGCGGGCGTTGAGGTTTTCCCAGCTGTCCGTTGGATGATCTGACTCTTGCTTGTCGCTTGTGGGATTTTTCTTTCCTCTTTGGAGGTGAATGGATCCGTCTCCAGTGGATTGCTCTGTTTTTCTGGGCTTTTTGTTTGGGGATTTTATTTTTGTGGTTCATCTGTTTGGATTTCTTTTCTTTTTTTTCGTTTGCTTTAATACTCTGCACAATCAGGAGAAGGAAGAAATAACACTGCTCGTCTAAATGCAATAGTCTTTACTGAAGCAACATTCTCCATGACGTTTTTGCCTGAGGTTTGCAAGATTTTGCCTGTTCTGCAAAGATTCATTTACATTGACATGATGTTTCATAAACATGAGAAGGACAAGACCCTGGTATTGAACCACGTACCAAACCAAACGCACAACAGGGAATTCTTAGCCGCTGTACACGTTGGTGGTGGCGTTCAGATTTTTGTTCTCATGTTCTTGTTTTGGAGACAGGGTTGAGACGCTGTTTGGAGAGCGAGGAGAGATGTTGTTTGTATTCATTGTACGGCTGGAGTGAAAGTATGAGTGCAATGTCGAGGTCCTGCTCCTACTCCTGAAGAGGTTTTGCGCTTCGTATGATTCCAGGACCAGTAATGCAAACAAAACACGTATCTTTGGGTTGCTTAATTCTGCAAACACGTTACTGAGTTCAAAAAGTCAGCAGTAGTCAGGTAGACAGAAGGGCTGACCAATGGCCAGTTTGGAACTGGTCCAGGGCAGGGAAGGAAAGAAATCATTTCTAACTCAGCCTGTAGCTGTTTCGTGTTGGTTTATATGAACTTTCTCATATATGCCTGATCCAGTTTATAATGGTTTATAATTCTAATTCATTCTTTTTATAGTGCTTTTGTGCAAAGACTCAATAAAAGATGAGGGACCCAATATTCCACATACTATGCACACATACTACATAGGGCATCAGTTAAACTAGAGAGCTTACAGGGGTTTTTCTTTCTAATTGTAATTGGAAGAATTGGCACAATTGTTGGTAGACCCAGAGTTGAATCTCAAGATTGAAAATGAAGCATTTTCACATTATGTCCACCTTGGAAGAATCTGACTCAAACATCTGAAAAAACGTTCATCAAATTAAGAGACGTGCATCGTGCTGGGTCCGCTGAGAATGAACTGCACAAAATCACACGCAGAATCAAAGTAAGAGCATTTGAAATCCTGGCCTTGATGCTTGGTCTGATTCCATATTGCTCATGAAATGTGATGAAAATGCAATGAAAATTTGGGATGGGACAGATCATAGAATCATAGAATAGTGAATTATCATAGATAATGGTGTAGTCCTGTGCTCCCAGGCTTGCCTTTGGAAGAAAGCCGAGTTGCCTGTCCGTGCGGCACTGAATGAGCGGTACGCAGAGCAGAGGAGCGAGGCTTTTGGGGAATCTGTACTCTGGGAAGCACCAGACTAGATAAACCATCTCGTCAGGTTGTTCTGAACCAAAGCAGGATTTATCTCAAGCATAATGTGAAGTTCGGATGCCGTGAAAAGGCGTGGGCCAGAAACAAGGGGGTTTGGCCCTACCTCCTGCTGTAAATAATGATGTGTTATAACCATCTCTCAAGACAAGGCATGCAGATGTGTTTATAAAAAGTGTTCTACTTTGATAAAGTGTTTGCAAATCTCAGTGATGACACTTTAATGAGGGTGATTCCTAGACAGAGGATGCAAAAATCAGGCCTGCGCTTGCCGAACGTGTTGCAGGAGTCTGAGCAGCAGCACGGGGCGTCGCGGGAGGAAGAGCTGCGGGAAGGAGGTGCCGTGGGGGTCACCCTGTGACGGACTCGTGGCTGCTGGTGTGCTGGGTTTAATACAATCCTATTTCCCTTAGTGGGTTTGATCTCACGAGCTGCTTGTAGCATTTTCACCAGGCTGTTCCCCCACTTTGGCACGCACTCCTTTCCGTCTCGAGCGCCGCTTCGGCACCTTGCCAGCTGCAGGCTGCCTCCGAGGCGGTTCCAGACTCACCTCGGCCTCCCGCCGCTGCGGTGTCTGTGACGTGCTCATCCTGAGGTGCGCAGTGGATCCCACCGCCGCCGCGGTGCGAGATGTGAGCCAAGAGCATTCAGGATTTAATATAATGGGATTTTCACCCAGAGCAATAACGCGTCCCGTGCTGGGTGAGAGCACTGGAACAGAAGGAAGCTGTTGCCCGAGCAGTTTGCGTGTTTTCGCGGTGTTTGTGTTACGGGCTTCCCTGCTCTCCTTGCAGGGGACTGTGGTGGTGCGTGGACTGGCCCGATCTCGAGAGCAATGGCAGCAGAAGCAGGTCGTTGCAGAGAATGACTGAATTCCCACCCGCTCTGCCTAAAATTCAGGTCATAGATCTTGGAATGGGAGTGGTGGTTGTGAACTGCTGTTCATCCTTGGAGTGCCGTTAGCGTCAGCGAGGTTCGTCCGGATAAATATGCAAGAAGCTCTTAATGAGAGATGAACAGTCCAATGGACAGTAAAGATTTGTGGGCAAAAATAACAAGAATTCATTTTTTCCCCAAAAATGATATTCTTTTTAAATCAGTTAGCCCATCAGGTGAGATGGGAGAGGGGTGAATGAACGGTTAGCTGTAGGTGGTTTATCTGCTCTCCCTGATGCTCTCTGGGCTTAGTGCAGGGAATGGCTCAAGTAGTTCCAGCCTTCCAGCACCATTCAGTTTTGCTGCTGTTACTGGTGCCTTAGTGGACAGAGAAGTGGGACAGGGTTGTGAAAGGTGGAACCTTCTCTTCAGAGTGTTTTGGAGATGCCAGAGGTGATGTTACCCAGGAAAAAGTACTGTCCTTCAAAAACTCGGTGGGAAATAATAGACTAATTCTTATTAGGGGCAGTTCAGCAGAATCCAGATGGAATAAGGAGTGAAATCCTGATTTTCCAATATTCAGAGCAGCTGCCAATCTAGAAGGGGTCCTCTTTAAGAAGTAAATCTGTGAAGTTTTGAGCAGGCAAGTTGTCTTTCTGTAGCTGCCTCGTTTAAGGGACTGAAGGGCCCTGAAATGTCAGAAACGTTGCTGCCTGCCAAAGCAGGCACGGCCGGGAGCTGCGGGCTGCTCCGGCATGCGGTGGCTCCTGGAGAACTTGGAGCATTGCCCAAAATCGAGAGTTGAAAGCACAACTGTTTCCTGCTTCGCTGTTAGAGAGCAGGCGGGCTCCCTCTGCGCGAGGGCGGGTACTTAGGTACAAAATTCCCAGATAAACATACCTGGAATATAAACAGGAGCAGGTGGAGAGCGCAGCGGCGTGCGAGCCAGGCGCAGCGGAGGACGTGCTCAAGCGGAGCTTTGACAACTTCCTCCATTCTTTCCCGGGACGGGGAAGCTGAATTCGTGTCCCGATCCTGCTGCACTGCTGCTGCGCGGGATCCTCCCCTTGGCAGGTTCTCCCTGGTCCTGCCCCTTCGCTCTCGGACATACCACCCTCTCCCAGCAGCTTTCGCCTCTGGAAAGTCGAGCCCGGCAGCAGTGCTTCCTCTTGCCCACACCAGCAGCCCTGGGCGTTCCAGCCGACATGGGTAAGGTCCTGCTGTGGATCCCACCGGGATCTGCTGCCTTCGGCTGCAGTTCTGCCCCGTGACACTCGTGGACTGGGGCCGGTGGGCTCGTTAGCGTGGTGGGCTGGGAGGGCGGACGCGGGGCTGAAGTTCAGCGTTTCCTCTGCCTGTTAAAAGGTTTCTCGAACCCCCCGTGGTTTTAAATCAGAAGCTTCAATGCTGTCGGTGAACGCCTTCGGTGTTGCCATTAACTGTCTCTTTTAGGACCGCAGCCTTCCGAAACCAAAATAAGCGTTTGCAGTTTTTGTTCTGGCTCACTGGGGACCTGAACGACTCTTAGGAAGATTGTCAGGAAACCAAGGACCAGAATTTAACTTTCCACTTATATGTTTGTGATAGACCGTATGATTTTTATGGACTTTCATTTTGGATACATGGCCAGGAAGCGGAGGGAGGAGACTAAGACAGAAAGAAGTGCTTTTGCGTGTGAACGTGGTGGTGTGTGCCGTGCAGGGGGACACTTGCATGGCGGTTCCACCGAACGGTTCGATGTGTGAAGAGCCCTTGTTGCACAGACAGAACCAGTGATTCTGACTTGGCAGAAGTGCCTAGTCTGGTTTATCCGCCTGGGGTGAATGTTTCTGTGCGTTTGTAAGTGCTAATAGTAGAAAGTGAACTGTGTTTGGTTTTGTTTGCTTCCTGAGGAGCTGTGAGTTCCACCCGTAGCCCGTGGTAATGACGGTTCTGGCTACACGGTGGCAGCAGCCTGTAAGAAGTCGGTAGGCAGGTGGGAAGAGTGAGTGGAATACTGCCCCTTGAAGTGGCACGATGGTGGAGAATTGCTCACACGGTTTGGAAAAGCGTGCTCCTGGCAGCGCAGATCGAGTGCTGGGCTGCTCCTCCAAAATGCATCGGGTCATTAAAGTCTGCTTGTGTCATCTGGCACTTGGGGAGAGACTTGTGTTCCAGCAAGATCGTGGTGTGTTTGTTGTTCTGTAAGGGGGTGTGTGTGGTACAGCTGATCTGCTAATTCCTTAGTTCCCATTTCTGTGCTAATTTCAGCCCTTTAGCACAGTCACACCCCAAACCACATTGGTCTGTCTTCGTTTTTTTGGTGTGTCCATGTTTAACCCGTGCATACACCTTAACTTCACGGGATGTTCTGTTTGCTCAGGCTCTGCAACAAGCCCAGTTTGGCCCAGAGTTTTTCCACCTATCCTTAAGCTCTGGACAGAGGTGCCCGATCGTTGCCACGTTTCTCTGCAACGCCCTCGGGAGAGCAGAGTCTCGGGCACCTTCACAGGTTGCCTTGAGGGAGCTGGAGAACTCTGCTGCCATAAAATAGTGCGTACAGAGAGACAAAGTCTTTCCTTTTCCCTGCTCTTTTCCTTTATTTCACGCTGTTAAACCCGAACTATCAAAGAGTAACTCTTTGTGTTAATGGTTACTGAATTTACTGTGAAACTGCGCTCTGTCAGGTGGGATTTTTTTTACAGTTGTAAATCTGTAAACCTTATTATCCAGACTACAGTGACTCCAGGTTAATCTGAGTGTAGGTTGTTCCTGCTGCAGCTTCCCCAGAGGCTTTGCATGTCACTCCAAAACTTTTAACACACTCATTAGGTGAGCATAAATGGATTGACCTGTGATTTTTTTTTAAAAAATAGCTACTTGCACAAGTTTTTCATAAAGCAGTCTCCTAAATCCTGCTTTTCCGATGTTTTGTGGTATTTGTTGTCCTTTGGGATGATCTGTATTTCCCAATATTTCTTTGCCCTGAGGAGCTCAGCATTTCTGAAGGCTTTACAGCCCTTGAAAAGGCAGAGAGGCATCTTCATCAGCTGCCTGACAAGGCAAGTGCTGATGTTCAGAGACACAGAGCAACACACCCGTAAGAGAACTGCCTGCAAAGGTGTGAGATACACTGCAAAAAAAAATCTCCATGCTTTGTCCTCACTGGAGTTTGCAAACCACATCCATGTGATGGAGTGTCCCGCTCCCTGGGATTCAGACACTCGGTCAGCTGCCAGATTAATGGGGGATCTGGAACGTAGTAAGTAATATTAACATGTTTAACCACGGATTATTGACACAGCAATGTAAATATTATTGTTAACATGTTGCTACAAGATGGTACGAATCACAGTTTCATTACAAAAAGCTCGTTTTGTGCTCACAAATGAGCTTGGCATCGTGTGCCAGGGAAAGGCTTGCGTCATCCGCGGATCTCTCCAGGCAGTAGGTACAGTGCTTCCGAATAAAAGAGTGCTTGGACAAGAGCAGAGGGGAGGGAGAAAAAAATGTGTGTGAGAAGAAGGAAGAGAAAATGTTCAGCATCTTGCCGTATGTTTTCTCTGGAAAACAATTTGGCACAAATAATCTTTTTCTCAAAGTAATCTGCAGAAAACTGCATTTGCAATGCTAATTAAGCTGTGCTCTAATGCGTACCGAGTTCCTGCTAATTTAGGTGATTGAGAAAATTGGAATAAAGTTTAAATTATGGCTTAGACATAAATGGAACAAAGCAAACTTTACATTTCGTCTTTCCAGATGAAAACATCTCACAAAGAACGTGAAATTAAACCTAACGTACCAAATTGCTCTTCTTGAGAAGATGCAATTTTTAACGTTACGAGCCTGCTCATGCTGGAAGCCTTTTGCAGAGAAAGGCTCGTAATCGAGTGGGCACCGGAGCTGCCCCACCACTGGATTTGAAATCTCGGATCTGTGGCATTCTGGAATAAAGTGGTGCTATGAACGTCCCCCTTTAAATATCAGAGAATGGCAAATAATTGGCTGATTTGCTTGATTTTGATACTTGAGGTACGGAGGGAGGCAACTGTGCTGTGGTTTTGCTTCTGTCAACACGTGTTTCACTTCGTGGCATATTGAAAAAATGTGCTGGCGTCCCGCTGCGCAGCACTTCTACGTTTCGGTGTTCCAAACAGCTGATGAGGCACTGGTTCCTTTTGGGAACGGAG